CGGGTATCGCGGAGAGGAATTTGAACCCCGGACGCAACCTCAGTCGATTAAATCCACCAACCAAGTCCCTGACCTTTTGCACACTCATCTACAACAGTGCGAAGTGCAGGCAAGCCTGTGCTCCCGCAAAGAAAGGCAGGATCGGGTGCTCTCACTGCAGGAGCAGGTAGGGATGGTGTGAGCCAGGCGGCCACACGCAAATCCAGCTACTGTGCAAGAGGTGGAGCAGGAGGAGTTAGTCAGGGGCTGAGTCACGACTGGGTTTGCCCCCGTTTAGCCTGTCTTTTCCTGTTTGCCTGTGATCTGCTGGCTGCTGATAGTTCCAGTTTTCCCTTCTTTACTTTTTTGTAGGGATGACCTCTAAGGATGATTCAGGTGAAGCTTATAGTAACTGGAGATGACTTTGGCTACTGTCCTCGGAGAAACCAAGGCATCGTGGACTGTTTCCTGGCTGGTGCGGTATCTAACGTGTCCCTTCTAGTCAACGGAAGTGCTGCAGCAGATGCAGCTGAGCTGGCAAGGAGGTAAGCTACTTTCTTTAGCTTCTTTGTGGACAGCCTCCACAGGCTATCCATGGAAAGCCAAGCCTGTAAAATTTAGTTTTTTTGTAGCCCCAGTATAAACACTGTATCATAACCCAGGCTGGCAGAAGAAAACTGGATTCCAGGCATATTTACTAAGACTCTTCATAGTAAAAGTAGTGACCTACCAACCATACCCACAGTGGCTCTTTCTCTGGTATTAGCTATTGCACTGCACTTTTTTTTTCCCAGTTCTCCTTGGGATAGAAAGCCACTTACACAATTTGACTGATAAGAGTTTGGGCTCATTGGACTTTCTTTTCCCATGCTTATAAAAGGTGCGCCACCAGAATGAATGGCCACACTATATGTCCAGGCCAAGCTGCTACCCCTGAAGCTATTAGAGCATAAAAACAAATCTTTAAATCTCATTTAATTTGATGCATTTCAGCCAGATTGAACACAGGGTCAGCCAGGTTCATTGCAGAATCAGGGAAAGGGATAATTTTGCAATGGCTAAGTTATAAACCTGGGTAGTAGAAAACTTGATTTTTTCACCCTAGAAACCTTTAAAAAAGCACTTCAATGTTTCTATTAATTCTAGGCCTGATAAATTCATTTGTAAAACCTGCATACATAAAGAGAGGGACAGTACCTTTTACCTGCCTTGTATCTACCACCTTTACTCCTTCATGAACTTTTCAGAGGTTACTGGCACAGTTGTCTCTGTAGCAAATCAAATGCTATGGGTTGTTCTCATGGACTAGCCCAGCAAATCCTTTAATTCAGGCATTACTTGTATTGAAAGGGTAAAACACAGCTAATGCTTCAGCTCTGGTGTGGGCAGGCACTTGGAAGCGGGAGTATGTCCTGAAAGAGAGGGCAGCAGGGCTGAGAAACAATTTACAAAAGCAGAAAAGGGAAGTAGCACAGAACTGGGAACTCACGCTTCAATTACAGCTGCTGCAGGAGATGGTTTCGCAAGAGTCATGATGTCCTTGATCTTCTTGAGCATCTCTCCCCTATTTTGGCTGAGATTTTAGGGGTACTTGGAAATTGCTTGCAGCATGTAGCTTCTTCAGTGTTGGGTGGTGCAGGAAAGCCAAGGTGTAGTGACAGTGGCAAATTCATCTTCTGTCAGAAAGGTTAGAGGTTACACACAAACACTGAGAGAGGAACTGCCTCTGGGATGAGATGAGAGGCAGCAAGACACAACACTATCAAGGTGCCTAAAATCCTGTTAGTAAAGTGAACAAATGTAAAACAAATTGGTAAAGCCAGCACTTCTCTCAGACAGGGAGGCACTGTGGAACCCTTTCAGCCCCAATGCTCTGGTGATGCTGTCAGCTATTTTAGTGTGGTCTTTAGCAGCATTTTAAATATAGAATCCACCTGGCCTCATTTCCATAGCCAGAAAGTAGGTCATGTAATCAGAGGTTTAAAAAGCATCTTTGAATCCAGGTCATGACACTTGTGCTGACCACTGATATGGGTATGAAAGCCAGGTTGGAGGGCAGGGGACAGTGGAAGCTGCAATGTGCTGCTACAATTTCAGTCTTTTGAGGGGTAGTTTTGAATTGTAAATATTAATGAAATGGATTTAAATCTATTTCTGAGAATATAAGTAGGGTGACTTTGGGAACATCTGTTGGCACTGAAGATCAACATCCCAGGTGCTGCAATTCCTCGTTTGTGTAACTCTGCAGCTGTATTCAGCCCTACCCACGCATGGGGGAAACATTTGCAGATTTAGGGAAGAAAAAAATGAAATGAGTTCCTTGTATTCTGTTACAAGCCCCACTTCAGGTGCTGCTGATACACATGCACTTTATTGGCACCTGTGCATGTAAACAAACCCTTGTGTCACCCCTAAGATATTTGTTCCACTGTTGCAAAGCTTCACACAAAGTTTTTAGGCACAGATGTCTAATAGGCCAGAGTTACTAGAAATGTCATTGAATCCTCCTCAGCTTGAGGTGCAAAAATTGAAAAGTATCACTGCTGCTGCAGTATTGCTGCCTTGCCACTGTTACTTCATTTTCCCTCTGCTGGGAATGTTGAGGCTTTGCAACATTTTGTGTTTTATGAGATTAAAATCTGCCCTGTTTTTTCTCCACTTGTTTGTCTTCCTCCACAGATACCCAGCTAAGCAAGTACTATATATGTACTATATACACACACACAATAAATACACACACGTGCATGTATGCTTAACTCCATAGCAGACCTTTCAGCCTTGGCTAGATCATGGTGTAAGCTGGGAGACTGGATCTAGAGGAAGAGGCTGAAGCAAGCAGCTTGTTCTTTTTGTGGTGCATTCCAGTGTTGTAGGATTTGGTCTTCGCACGCGTGGTACCAGGATTGTCCAAGTGCTGGACTGTTTCTATGGCTTGTGGAGATTGTCTGGGTGCTTCTTGATTAACTGGCTATGATTCAATGACATGGTTGCTCATCACTGCAGGTCTTGAGCTCTCTCTCCTCACTTGGTCTTCAGTTAATTGGACATAGGCAAAGCTAATTAGGAACAAGACAACTTTTCTTGCAGGATAGTCCTTCTTAAGCACCTCATGCTGCCCTGCAATGACAGGACTCGGCATCCTTCAGAAAGGAACAGAGTTCCTCTGGAATTTCACTCTTCCCTTCATTTTCACAGTAATTCTGTAGGCTTCTGAGTGTACCATCTGTTGCCTTGTGTTTTGCTTCGAAGCCTTGGCAGAAATGTGATGGTAGTCAGCAGATCTTTGTACCACCTCTGACACAAACTAATTGCAAACCAGCAGAACCAAGCAGTAAATAATGCACCTTCCCTAACATCTGGGTTCTGGATCCTGGGCTTTTCTCATTTGCTGTCACAACTGGGCTAAAAGAAGAGATCCACTCTCTTCAGGTGAAAGAGGAGTTTCAGCAGAGGCCTGATTCATCACCAAACGACAAATGTATCAATAGCAACTGCTAGAGTAGTACAGAGCCAGAACAGCAGGCAGGAGAACAGACTTACATTGCAGGTTTGTTTCTTCCTAGTAAATCAAAACTTCTCCCTATGGGGCATAGACTGACTGCAACTTCGTGGTTATCCATATAAAATCTACTTATCAAGCCCCACCTTGAAGTCAGCCAGTCTTTGTGGTGCTTATTCCAGAGCCTTTCCCAGAGATTGGAAGGGTCATTTTGTTACCTGAAATGAATAGGCCCCTTAATTTTCTCCTTAGAAATAATGGAGACAGCAGAAATAAAGAGACCCAAGATTGTTTGCCACCATATTTTTCATCCCTTTTATCAACCAGCTTGGTTGTGACTACTGGGACCCTTTTCCAGATGATTGTATCCAAATACTCGAAGAGTGGCATTTTAGAACACAACCTTTTGTTTTATTTTTCCAGTTTAAATGCTGAACATCAGCTACACAAAAGCTGAAGCCCCCGCAACATCTGGCTACATTTAACAGAAGAATCTAACAAAACCAGATTTAATTGTTGTCTGTGTTTTCACTTCCTTTCCCATCAACACTAATTGCAAAATGTGTAAATTGTGACTTAATTCTGACCCTCCCAGACAACATCTGACAAAGTAGAAGTCTCACATGCTTTCTCATCACCCTTTAATCTCACTGTTAATCACAAGGCAGACAGTTCCACTGCTGAACTGTGTTTGGATTGGGGGTGGGGCTTAATCTGAGGCCTTAAACTAGAATCCCAGATCATGTTAACTTTACTGGGAGCAGCACTTTTTGCTGATGTAAGATCATGGATACAGAAGCTTCACTTGATACAAATATTTCATTAAAAAGAAAGCCACATCCTTAAGCAACGTTACAGTACCAGTTCTTAATACTAGAAAGTCTTTGGAGTGTTTTCTCCAGCAGATATAAGTCTTTCGCAGTAATGGAGCAAGACAAGAAGCTATTTGATGAAAGACAGAGTTTACAGTTTGCTGAAGAGTGAAAGTGGAGGTTAAAAAAATATGCAAATGCCAACATGAAGAAACTAAAAGGTGCACTTCTTTGCACAAAGCACAGCCTTGCTTTGTCTGGCTTCAGAGCACTTCTTTGCACAAAGCACAGCCTTGCTTTGGCTGGCTTCAGACACTTGGGTGTTTACTGAAGCAGGATGCCAGAGACAGATATTTACATGAGGCTCTTAATTGCATCACGCTTGGGCTGAAACCTGATGAACCAGTAATTTCCTGGATAAGGATTCAAAGAGGATGATAAGGATACAAAGAGGATGCTGAAGGTGGGATCTGTTTACCCATCAAGGAAAAGGGTAGGTGCCACGCTGCTTATGCCAGAGCACTCAGCCTTCACCAAGACAATGGGGACTGGGCTCCGGGACTCATAATTCCCACAGCCACTGCTCCCGGAAAGGTGGGGACTGCACAGAGTCCGTGCTGTAGCCAGGCAGGGCACAGTTGCTGATCCACCAAGCTCAGAAATGTGCATAGCTGGTGTGCACTTTAAAGAATGGCTCAGTACAGTAACAGTCTCCAGGGACCTTTTACTGCTAAGGATATGAATGAACAGGGATTGTAACTGCACAAAAGCCCATTGCCTCAGCAGAGACATTTGTTCAGAGCACTCGCGTGGCAAAACAAGCAACTACTTGAAAAGGAAGCAGTTTAGCTGATAGTATTTCCTTTCTCTGTTGAGTAACTGAGCTGGGCTTGCTGACTCAGACATCTTTCCAGACTGAATTCCTTGTAGCATTTGCTGTAAGGGTATCTCTTTTTTTTTTTCTTCCTTCTTTTTTTCCCCACCTCCACAGGGGATGCTGAGCAGAGAACCACAGAGCCAGGCTGGCTCTAGCAGCCAACCTGTCAGTGCAAGCAGCTCACAAGTGAACTCACCTTAGTGGCTGCAGAAGCTGCTGGCCTGAACCTCTTCGCAACAAACTCAGACAGCCCCACTTAATGCTCCTTAGACTATAGGAGCACACATTTGTAGACACTGTCCTTTGGCTTTATTGGAGGGAATTGAATGGTTGTGCTAAATCCTGCTTCATCTCTGTGCACTCGCCAGGGCAGCAGGACAGACTTGCAGACGCCTAGACATGGGCCTCTCCAAACAGATTCTGGAAGGGCCATTGTCATTGTTGCTCAAAATAACCACCAAAGTGAGTTTAGAGAGACCAAGCAGATTCCTCAGCATCATTTTGTGTTGGCAACAGTAGCTGTTACTGCAGTGCTTTTATCACAGAAACTAAGCTGTTGCCTGAAGCTCAATCCTTTTACCTTGAATGCTGGGTGGAGCAATTAGCAGTTAGTCCTGAGGGCCATGACCGGAGGCACTCACCCTGTCCCATCTATAAAGGACTTTGGCAGAGGAGTGGGTGTGAGGCCAAACCCACAACAGCTGACTTCCATTCCCAGTGTGGCATCACATGCTATAAAAGCTGCTTGAGTATCTCAGCTGATAAAATAGCAGATACTTTACAGTCTTTAAAAGATGTGGACAACTATAAAGTATGTGTATCAGAAACAATGATCTGCCCTCTAGAAAATGGGCCCTTCCAGGACACTCCCAAAACTTTTACTTCTCTCCCTGCTTTTTTTTTACATAACAGCGTGCCTTGGCATTGCTCTTTGGTTGCAGAAGCTACATTTCAGTGGTGAGAGACACTCAGGAGCAAGAGTTCATCCAGTGTGTGGTAGCGGGCAAAAAAGCCTCTTGGTTCAGTCTTAAAGCCCAAACCTCTGGCAGAACAGAGCATGATTGAAGCCCTGTCTCCGAAGGGACAGCCCAGCTAATTACTGTGCTTTACGTTTTGCTCATGTTTTCATCTCATTGCACTCGGGACTTAAGGTACTCATGCAGTGTCCAAACTGTTAGGAGTGAACACCAGGACATTTGATGCTGAATAGCAGCAGCAGCATCTGGCCCACTGCATCCAGGGGAAACACACATGTAGGTACAGGAGAACGCTAGCTAGCAGCAGAACCCTGCTATGCCTGCTGCGTTGTCCTCCTTCCCATACCCTTACAGCTTTCCCAGCAAGCCCGCTTCTGTGAATCTCCCACAGATGAATACTTCTGAGCAAGTTTCTCACATGCTGTGTTTTCAGTTTTGGTTTCAGTGCCTGTATCCCAGAGCCATTAAACACTGGCAGTTCCTCTTTAGATGCCTCAGCATGGACAGTCTGTCAAACCAGCCAAGACTCACTCTAAGAGAAAACTATTAAGATATTCAGCTGGTGTTAGCCAAAGCTCCGAAACACGCTCTAATGTTACAGTCAGAGTCTCCCCTTACAGTGAGAACAAGGGCAGCTCTCTCTGCACTTCCACATTCTGCGCATTCCCCAGCTCTGCGGCTGGTTTCAGCTCGGGCGAGGAGCGGCTCTCATGTTACCCAGTGCAGCACTTGGCTCCTTGGTGTCCCACACCTGTCGCAGGGGTTTGCCTTTTCCTGGAAATAGCTTCCCTCGCAGCACTTGAGGCACTGCACAATTGGAGGTGGTTCATTTGATGCCCCTGGGAGACAGCACTGAGAGGCTCAGCTGTTCATTTCTTGCACTCCCACAACACATGAGAAGGAGAGTGCTCTACAAAAAAAGTCTTCCATCTGCTGATTCATGGTAACACATGAATCCTTTTTATTGCAGACAGCAGTGGCTGTGGCACAAATGCTGCTATCAGCTGATGCAGTCAGAGCTTCCCAGAGACATGATAAAGAATTTGAGCTGTATTTCTAAAAAAAAATACAAAACAAAACCACAGGCTCCCCCTCTGCCTTTGGACTCATGCAGGTTACAAAGCAGGCCACAGTGTGGAGGGGAAGCCTTTGTGCCACAGCATCCCTTCTGCACTGTAGCTGCCTCCTGCCCTGCCATCAGCTGCCTGCTTACAGGCCCCCACTCTCAGTGACAGCATCTTCCAGTTCTTGTATCAGCAAGGAGTAAGTGAGCACATGTCGTGCTCAGGCCCCATGTATGAAAGCCAGATGAACATTTATTATCAATTATACAATCAGGCCCTGCTGCAGAGAAATCACCAAATGGGAAAAGCCAGAGAGGAACTTTCTCTCCACAAGCTGCTTTGCTCCATTGAGCAAACATTCAAGCTCCCTAATCACACAGCAAACTGGAAATACATGGCCTTATTTGTTTCACAGAGCTGTCCATGCAACTTAACTCATAACATTTATGTCTTTGAGAAGGAGCAGTATCTACAACAGACTGCACCATCTACCTGGAGCACAAGACATGGAGGAGCCAGGAAAAAAGAATTTCAGCCAAAGCCATAGAACCTGAAGGAGATAAATGTCTCTGACCTGGTCCAGTCCATATGCAATTCTTCTGTCCCCTGTAACGTGGTGCTTCACTAGTTAGCTTCATGGCAGCAGACAGAAGGGGAAGATCGGCTTTTTGCACACTTTGCCTAAATGGAAATCGCCTTTGTTTTCCATCGTGTGGTACAAGCACTGCATCACACTGCTGACCTCCTTGCAATAATCCTTCATCTGTGCCAGAGGGATGCTACTTTGTCCAGCTCAGCCTTGTCACTCAGTGGGTGCTCATCGGCACCAGTGGACAGAAACCTGGCCACTGCAGGCAATTTCAGCTGCAGCTTCTTGGACCAGGAAACCCTTAGAGTCAGGCAGTATTTACACTTGTAGCCTGTGCTGTTGCCATAACAGCTGCCTTGGGCACTGTTTACGTACGACTGGATTCTGCTTAAGGGCAGCTTTAGAAGTTTTCAAGTAAAACTCAAATGTCTCATAAATGTGGCATCTTTAATAGAGTAAACGACTCAAGGGGATACCTAGCAAGTGCTTCTGAAGTGCTTTAGAAAAGGGTTGCAAGGTCCAGATTCCTGTTGGTCACTAGTGACTGCAAGGCAGTTATATTCATTTAATTTAATGCAGTTACAGCATTGCAGCCTGAGATAACCTCGTAGCTGCTCTCTGCACAGGAGTCAGGGTGAGAACAGAGCTGGGGGAGTCTCGCAGCCTGGCCCTTGGCAGACTGCACAGGTTGTCACCTGGAGATTCTCTGCTCTGGTTAGTGTCATTCTGCTTTCCTTTCTAGAAGAACAGGGGCATAAAGATGTACTCCAGTGAGTACACCACCACTTTTTAGATCAGTCTAGATCTTTCACTCAAATCTCCCCCTTTGGCCACAGTAAGGGAGGTAGAGGTACAAAGATTAACAGATCTTTTACTCCTGTTACAGATACAACATCCCAATAGGCCTGCATGCCAATCTCTCCGAGGGCTCTCCTGTATGCGAGCTGCTCAAGTCAAACTCATCTCTGCTCAACCAAGATGGATTCTTCCATGGGAAAATGGGATTCAGAACTGCTCTATCAAAAGGTCTCCTGAACATGTCAGAGGTAGGAGAGAGCCACATACAACCACATGGCTGCATTCCTGATGCAGCTCAGCCTGCACTTATCCCAGCACACAACAGCTGAAGATCTTTCCCAGGTCCAACTGTGAGAAAGCTTAGAAATGAATCTTGACTGTGTTGCCTGGGCAGCTGGAGCTGGACTTCTGTGTCCTGGGGCTAATTCTGCCCAAGGGTCTGCAGCCTTTGAGAACTCATTCCTCCCGGCTTCAGCGCTGGCATGCACCAGTGTCCTGTTAACCACTTACCTGAGGGGGCAGAACCTGCATTGGACAGATATTTACAAAGAACCCAGAGATCAGTAAAGGCAAAATGAGAGAAGTGCTAGGTAGGCTTTTCATTACCCTTTGTTCTGTAGGGAGATGGCAGTTTTTGCCCAGTGAACAAGGATGAACTTGCTCAGGTGATCAAAAGTGCCTGTGGGATATGAGCACCCATTTCCCCATTCATTTTAAAGGGAAACAGGTATTCACATATCCTAGGTATTTTAGAAAATCCCAGTATCAGCGTCATGCACATAACCAGTACCATGAAGAGAGCCATACCTAGGGGAGGCTCTGGGCAGCCCAGCAGCACTGTGTGTTATTTGTGCCTCTCAGGGCCAGGTCCCACATCCCTGGCCAGCAGGTCCCCAGCAGCCCCTTGCACTCTCCTGATCTCAGCCTGCTTGACAGGTCTTGCTCTGACCTTCTCTGCTGCACAGGTGAAGCAGGAGCTAAAGGCCCAGGTGGAGCTGTTCCGTGAGCTGACAGGTCACCTACCTCCGCACATGGATGGGCACCAGCATGTCCACGTCCTCCCAGGTAAGAGGGGGTTTCCTCTTCTTCCCAGCGCCAGTAACTTTGCCCCTGTTTTGCAAATAAGGTCACTGTGGTATAGAGGTGGAAAACTGAGTGAGCAAAAAGAATATTTAAAAAAAATCCCTATTTCCCCTCTCCAGCGCTCAGCTGCCTCTGAGTGACATCGCTCTTGGCAGCTTACCCTCACAACAAATCTGGCTGTGCAGGGCCCTGATGAAGAACTTGTTCCTGACGGTGCAGTCACCTCTGGTGCACTCTAGGACCAGTCACTGACTTAGAAGGGGTTGCTGGAGCAAATGCTCAGCACTGAAGGGGAGACAAGGCACCTACAGCAGATGTTGAGGGAGTTTTGTTTCCAGTATAGAAAGGGACTCCCATCCAGATGGAGAAAACCATTTCAGCAGAAGATAACCCAAATGGGATTATATTTTCTTAAACACGGAAGGACATCTCTGTGCTAACAGCCTCTGGGGGCCATGATGAGCTGGTTATCTGATTCCTGACTAAAGTGTCTCTGTTTTTACTTACAGAGGTCAGGCACGTGTTTGCAGAGGTGTTAGAGGAATATGGGATTAAGTACACTCGTGTCCCAATAGAGCCAGGCCTTCATAACTGTGACTGGATCCCACCATCCCTGATGGACTTTTATCTGGGAGTAGAGGAAGATTCTTTTAACACAGTGGATGTGTTTACCAGGCATGGAATAAGGTAAGACAGGCATTACTCATCCTCTTTGTAGTAAAGCTTTTAAGGTTTCACCAGTTCCTGATAGCATCTTTGCAGAACAGAACACCACCTTTCTCTTTCCACTCTGGAGCTTTACAAGCAGGTTCAGGAGGAGTACAAGAGTGCCAGGGGCACTGGGGCTTAGTAAGCAGATTTGTTTGAACAGAAATGACTCACATCCCACCTGAGAGGGATTGTTCTTTGCAGAGTATGTTTTTCAGCCCTTCTGGTTGAGCAGCAGCATCCTGGCACCTGGGGCTGTAGGAGGCTGCATCAATGCTGGAATTTTAAAAGTAAGACCTAGAGGGAGTTTTCAAGAAATAACTTTTCATCTCCCTGGAGTAGTGAAGAAAGGGTTTTAAGTAGCAGGAAATCAATTAAAACTAATTTAAAAAGTAAAACTAATTAAAATCAAGTGTTTGTTGTTAAGGGAAGGCAAGAAGCTCAGAGAGCTTGCAGAGCCCACAGCAGGTGATCACTGCTCTAAGCAAACAGTTTCATCAGTGTCCCGCATCTCAGGACCAAAGCCAAAAGAGCTCAGCCCTTCCCTCAGTGACAATTTCTAGAAAAGCTTAAATCAAGCAGTGCTTTATGGATTAAAGACATTTCATTTGAGACCCTTGCAGTCACCTGTTCTTTGGGGCAAATGTCATTACTTTCTCATTCTAATGAAAAAGTTGTTTTCTGGGATTCTGTTGGGTTTTTTTTGGGGGGGTGTGTGTTTTTGTTGGTTGGTTGTAGGTTTTTTTTAACCAGTTGTTCTCAGCACGACAGCAGGCTGGCATCTCACCCTGCTCTTCCCAGCCACAGCACACGGGCTCTGCTCCAAGAGCCCCTTTCTGCGGGGGAGGAGGGCACAGTAGCTAACACAGTGGTTAATCAGGAGGGAGGAATCCTCCTTTTGGGGCAGGTTCGCAACAGGGACGGTTCAGTGGAAACCCGCACGCTGAGAGCTCCCCGCGTACCGAAGGGGCAGGGCGG